CAACAGTACATCATATGGTGCCAAATATCCGAGGCGGCAAATTACGACGCGGCATCCAGGATCAAGGTATTGGTTGTGTTGAAGAATGGCGTTTCCGCCAAGTCGCAACTGAAAGCTTGGTTCCACGGTCTTTTGCTCGCTGAGCGGCTGCACGGTCTGAAGACACCCGAGCTGAGGCGAGCTCAGCTGGGCCAGCACATCATGCTAGGGCACATTCAGGCGACGATGGCCCTAGCCGACGAGAAATACGAAGGATATGCGAGGAGGTTGTCGGCTGCCGGCTGGAATCTGGAGGTTGCCGTGCTGGAAACGCGATCGGGATCTCGGATAATGCGAGAAGTTGATGATGAGGACACCCATTGAGTTTATGCGATGTTCCGAAAAGGGACAATCTAGATAGATACCATACAGAGAATGTTAGTCTTTCTTGGTCTGAACATGACGAAAAAAGCACCGTGACGTCTAGCTTTGAGCTTGATTCAATCTCAAGTCATGTCAAACCGTTCTAGCGTGTGGTCGGTTTCTTGTCAAAACCAACCCATCAGGCCAGCAATGCAACTTTGCGAGATCGTTCGCCGATGCATCTGAAGATTCAAAGGCCGTTCGAGTCAATAAGCTTGGTTCAATCAGCAGACCAAACCGTGATTGTGCCGGCTGCCGCATAAGAGTAAAGGTTGCGATGCGTTCGAAAGATCCTCCACATGGTCCACCCAGACTCCTTGCGCGAACGCCACGTGGGGTCAGGAGGTGTGCTGTGGAAGTATCAAACATTGACAAACTGGCGCGCAACCCACACCGATCAACGCGGCCCGGGCAACTGCCGCCGATGTTGACATGCTTTTTTGTGATGTGGCATTATTTCAAATTGCCTGAACATGATGTGGTCATCTACTTGACGCCTGAATGAAGCATTTGCGCGCCGTGCACTGCTCTGGAGCAGAGGCTGTGTGCTCTCTTCGCTTTCGCGTTGTCTCTGTTGTTCTTCTTTCGCTGGGCAGAATCGCTGATCGCTGATAAGGAGAAGCTTTGAACACAATTTCGCTATCGGTAATTTGATCTTCGCCCCGTCCCGTGCTGCAATGTTCTAGAGTCCCGACACTCCGGCCTTAACTCCATGAACACCCAAGTTTCCCCCTTAAACATAGCCATTCGAACTAGAGCTTGGCGCCAATGCGCGCCATTGCGGTGCCCGTGCTGCTCTTCGTCAACATGCCACCCGGTGACCCGACTCGTTCCGGGTGTCAGTTTGCCTTGGGGTTCCGGAGCTTGAATGAAGGAAAAATAAGGGGACCTGGGGGAGCCCCGCTCGTATTGAATTGCGGGACCGAAGTCTCCAAATGCGAACCCGAGGGGGGAAGACGCAGAGGCCATGACGACTCGCACCAGACGCACACGCATTAGACTTCTGGAACGGCTGATGTATGAGACACGTGATGGCGCTGACAACGTCCCAATGCCTTCTTGGACCCCTTCTGGGCAGTGCTCAGCTGTGATTGGCCCCTGTCTCAATCTCGGGTTCGAGTGCGCTTGTTGAGACGGTGCTGTGCATACCTTATTGTGTGGGAGCGCAAGCCACCGTGGCGGCGCCGTACTCGTAAACGCGATCCATGAAATTGCCTATCTGGTCCATGCCTCATGAATCTTGCGCTTGGATATATAGGGGGGCCGAGTCCGTCCGCCAACACTCATCATGACATGTCATGCAAACCACTAGACCTCTGATCTCATTAGCATTCTTCTTTTCCGCGCCACGATGACGAAACAAGTTGATCTTCCCGTTCGTCCGACAGTCCTCCAGAGGACCAAGTCACAGCTTCGTCGTCGCGGTGATCGCACACAAAACCCGGTGCAACTCCAGGCATTTGAATGGAACCTCCCCGCCGATCATTCCCATTGGAAGCGTTTGAGGCTAGCACTCCCAAGTCTAAGGGCCGTTGGTGTCAACAGCCTGTGGCTTCCTCCAGGAAGCAAGGCCAAGGATTCGGAGAGCAATGGCTACGACATCTACGATGCGTGGGACCTGGGAGAGTTTGACCAGAAGGGCTCGGTACCCACGAAATGGGGCACGAAGGAGGACCTGATAGCGCTGGCTGCCGAGAGCAACAAGAACGGCATCGGACTGGTGTGGGACGCGATTCACAACCATCGCGCTTATGCGGATGAGACTGAGATGGTCAAGGTCGTGGAAGTTGACCCCAGAGGTAAGGCGCTCGCGCGACTCATGCACACCAGGATGCCTTGCTAAACTTTGTTTCTAGATAGACGGATAGACATCACAGACACGTATGAGATTGAGGCATGGACGAAATTCAACTACAAGGCCAGAGGCGGCAAGTACAGCACTTTCACATACAACAAGACACATTTCAACGGCACCGACTGGAACCAGCAGAACAGCAAGAGATCAATCTACCGGTATGTGGAGGATGGAAAGAACTGGCACCAAGACGTCGGCACCAGTCAGGGCAATGCGGATTACCTCATGTTGGAGAATCTCGATTACACCAACCCCGAAGTCGTCAAGGAGTCAACAGAGTGGGGCCGATGGATCGTGGATGAGCTCGGTCTGAGAGGCTTCCGCGTGGATGCAGTGCAACACATCTCATGGAACTTCATCAATGAGTGGACGAGGTACCTGAAGAAGACCAGCCGGCAAGATCTGATGTTTGTCGGCGAGTTCTGGCACGGTGATGTGCGGGTGTTGACGAACTGGATGGACAATATGCACTCGTTCTTCAGCCTGTATGACGTCCCGCTGATGTACCACATCGCGAGACTGTCGTGGCATGAGGATCATGACTTGAGGGAGGTATTCAAGAACACTTTGGTTGAGCAGCGTCCCAACAACGCAGTGGTATGTGTCTCATCGGGGGGATGTCAGCCAATTGCAGTCAGCTAACATACTTCCAGACTTTCATTCGCAATCATGATACCCAGCGTGGCCAAGCTATGGACACGCCCATTTCAGCAGAATTCATGCCACTCGCCTATTCTCTCATTCTCCTGCGACGAGACGGACACCCTTGCGTCTTCTTTGGCGATCTCTACGGCACCGGCCTCCCCCACCTTGAGCCTTCTGTGCCCGACCTCCCGAACCTCCTCTTGGCCAGGAAGCTTTACGCCTACGGCAAGCAGAAGGACTACTTTGACAAGCACGACTGCATCGGCTGGGTGAGGCAAGGAACTGAGGATAGACCCGATGGCCTTGCTGTCGTCATGAGCTGGACCCAATCTCCCGAGGCCGAGTCCCAGATTTGCATGCAGGTTGGACGCGAGCACGCCGGAGAAGTGTGGACAGACGTCATGGGCCTAGAGACAGCCAATGTCATGATTGATGAGAATGGCCTGGGACTCTTCCCCTGCCAACGAAACAGCATGGCATGCTTCGTCAACAAGGACGCCAAGGGAAGAAAGAGGTTTCCTGTTCGTTTCGACACTGATTTCAACGGCCTCCTAAATTAGAATGATAGCGGTGCGGTGGATTTATCGTCTTTTACTTATGGCCACTGCGAGTGGGCTCACATTTAACTTTATAGATAGGGATCGGCGTAAGGCTGAGATTATATAGCGTGGCATACCATAGCGAATACTCACAAGAAATCTTTACTCCTTGTATATGATCAGCGCATTCTTCGGAGCTTAATGTGTAGTCATCAGGTAGGATGACAAAACAATTTCGGGTGAGATGAATTGTATTGCTAGGACTGGCGCTTGTGACAAACTCCTAGATCCTCTTGTCTTCCACCGATTCATTGATAGTAAGAGCCCATAGCCCACATAGAATGATCGCCTATGTGCTTGAACTTCTCCCACTGGAACATCATCTTGCTCTTCGCGCTTTGAATCTCGTCCTCGTTAGTAATGATTCCGACCTTGAGGAATAAGTCCATCTGCTCAGCAACCCATTTCTTGCAACCACGTCCTTCGTTGTCGAAGTCATACTTTTCCCTCCCATGTTCAATAATTGTATCAACCAAATCGCTGACCTTTAGCGTCTGTCGAGTAGTGAGCCGGCAGATGCATTGGGCTCGGCTGAGTTGTCGATCTTCCAAAAGGCTAATGACAATGTTTGCTTTGGAGCCATCGCCTCCACCAGCAGCCGGGGTTCCGCTGGGAGTGCAGTCGAGCTGTATCAGACGCCAAGAGTCAGGGTCGAGATGATTCGGTGCAACGGTCAAGTAGAATGTCCAGTGATTGCCCCCGTTGGCGAGAGGCTCGTGGGCGACCGCGCTTGCCTCCAAGACTGAGAGGGAGAAGATTTGTTCTCGATCCTTCTTCGGAATACACTGCACTGCCTCGAACTTCGGTGGCGGAAAAGCCCAAAGCTGGTGGGTTGAAGCAGGTTCGGAAGCTGCGTCGGCACTGGCGCCTTGCAATGTCGCATCCATATTCAAGGATCAGAGTGTTGCCCCTTTTATAGAAGCTGCGAAACTAACGATTTAAATTGTGGATGCTCGTGGAGATCGAGAAACTGGGATTTCCATGAGAGGGAGGAAAGGGCCAAAGAGCTCGATAAGACATGGGGGTTAAGAATATCGCCTTCCAGGACACGAATACTAAATAGCCGCTCGGTAGGATTCAAAAACACCCGGTAAAGGCCAGTATTTTGGCCATGACGACCCGTAGAACCAACGTGACACCGGCAATATTGCCGCGCGCTACTAACGCCAGCTCAAAGACCCAACCAACACAGCCCCATCGACATTCAATATTAAGCCAATGGCGACAAGAGGGCATGCGGGCCACAGAACATCTTCCAATTCTCATCTACTTTATTTAAATTCTCATGGCCGGTCGTGATTGTGGTTACACGCAAAGACAACAATCCCGTTTTCTTTTGACTGAGCGTCGGCTCCGCGTTGCCTGAAGTCATTCACTTTCAGCAAAGACCGATTGCCAAGATCCACCCTGTCTATATCCTCTTCAGACGTCCTGGGACAGATCCCAGCTAACCTTTCGTCGATACCACTTCAGCAGCACAACCGCGCCAAACTGATTCGATGGCCTCAGGCGCTGAACCGAAAGAGCTGGCGACCGACATGAATGCGTTGCCTCAAGTGGAAGACAGATTACATCCGCTGGACGGCGGTGAGCTCGACTCGGTCTCTGACGATGAACTTGGTCGCCTTTTCTGGACGGCACCTATCTTATACCAAGCTCACGGTAACAAGGTTGTGCGAATCTCCCAGAGTCTGGTTTTGAAAGGTGGCGGCACGGTGTCCCAGGGCGAGGGCGAAACGCAGCGCTTCGCTGCAGTCTGTGGATTTCCGGTTCCTACGGTCCACCGCGTCTTTTCCCTGATTGGGGTGTACCCTAATTGGCCAGAGGAAGAGAGCTGGTTCATAGTCATGGATTTCGTGCCTGGAATTCTGCTTGAGAAGGCTTGGCCAGACTTGGATACCGACACACGCGAGTTCGTGGCAGCCAAGGTGGCCGAGATGATCGACCGGATGCAGTCTCTCAAAATATTCGACATGCCTCCTGGCCCTGTAGACTATGAAGAGGACAAGCCATGGCAAGGCCCGTATTTCACGCTATATGGGACCGGGCCTTTCCCAACTCTTCAAGACATGGAAGACTGGTACAACCACAAACTAGACGTTTGCATACGACTCAAACAGACTAGAAATGAGACTCGAAGATTCTCATTCACGGAGGTGGTCCTGACGCACCAAGACATTGCGCCCGAAAATCTCATTCTGCGACAAGAAACCGGGGACCTTTGCCTCATCAACTTTGAATTCGGAGGCATATATCCAGTAGGATTCGAACAAGCTGGTTTAGCGAGTGGGGGCCTTGGGAAATGGAATGAGGAGTTCCGAAAAATGGTCTTGCCGAAGCTGTCATATCAAGGAGAAAAGGAACTGAAACAATTAAAAGCTATCATGTATGGACTGACGACAGGCGTATTGTTGTAGCTTTCATGTATACGCAATGTTGTTATTGCGGATGCGAGGTTGCTTTTGAACGGACGAAATGTATTGCGTGATTGCGCGGAAGCACTACCATAGATCTCAGCGCTTCTAATAGCATGGAAGCATGGAGGCGTTCCGCGATACCTGGATACAATCTGTGATGTAGGGACAATTCCAAACCGCGTTGAGCTTGTATGATGATAATCGCCTTCTGATTTGTTGTCTTCGTCCCCCCTCTTGACTGCGTGTGTCCAGGACATATACCGATAGCCGTATGATCAGAAGACCTACCCGACTAGAAGAGTCTTTGCTCTGAGTCTAATCGAACTGGGGGGAGAAATAACAATATACACATAATGTGTCTGACATCCTTAAGGCTAGCACTGCTTACTGATCATACTCAGTGCTGATCAAAACGTCTCAGAATAGGTACTTTACCCAACAACCCAGAAAATATAATGTCGTCAGCCCAGCTTATGCGGGCTGACCCTGAAATCCTACTCATGTATCCCTCCGCTTACAACATCAATGTTGTCAAATAAGCAACATAAGCAGCCCACCTTTTGTCTTGCAGTCTCTATTTTCTCCAAAAAGATAGGAAAAGTCTTGCCTTGCCATGCGTCACACTTGAAACTTAGAACTCGACTTATTTCATCAGAATAAGTTACTCAGTTACGACTGGCATTCTGGAATTTGACTCCTTGAAGCGGTCTTGCCACCATCACAATTGTTGCCGACGTCAGCTTGACAGCCGGTCGCAACCCAGTCGCTAACCGCCAAGAACTCCTCACCCCCTGTCGTCTGACCCCTGCCAGTCTTCTCGCTTAGCCCCAATTCCCACCCGCTCTTCATTATCAGAGGCCAACAAAACCCCAGAGACCGCAGCAGGACCTGGAGACTAGAAGAGGGGGAACTTTTGACCTCGTCACTGAGCACCATCCTGCTGTTATCGAAACAATGCCCCGCAAAGGAAACCGCAAAGTGAGAACGGGCTGCTTAACTTGCAAGTGAGTAACATCACTCCATTGCCTAAGATATCCAGTGAAGTTGCATCTAACGCGGCTACGTTCAGAGTTCGGAAGATAAAATGCGATGAGACGAAGCCGGTCTGCGTGAAATGTTCCGGGACCGGTCGAAAATGCGACGGCTACACGGCGCTGATCCTGGCACGCCCGGCCAGACCGCAGCTTTGCCCGGCAAAGTCACCGGACGAATTCCCGGGTTCCCTTGTCATCGCTATTAGCGCATTATATGAAGATGTCACCATGACGAGTGCGAAAGCGAATAACGGCAGCTCACAGATTCGATTTCTGCGAGATAACAACCTCGCATTAGCTCACTATAACATTGCGATCAAACATCTGCTAGTCATGGAGAACAAGGGGCTGGTGGTACTCGTTTGCCTCTTGTTCATCTGTATCGAGACCTTACAGTCAAATCGCGAAGCTGCTCTTCAACATAGTACTCACGGGACGATAATTCTGGGGACCTCCGATGCTCTCTCTTATCGATGGGTCAAGCAATGGGTGCTGCCAATGTTCCGCCGCCTCAATACCCTCAACTTCTGGTTCGGTGAAGGGCCTGACCTACCCGACCTCGAGGTTTTCAAATATCCAACTCCAGCGCAATTTACTAGTTATGACGAGGCGGGAGGCATGATCGATGATGTCTTCAACCAGGCATTCCAGCTTCTCTGCCAGAGCTACATCTACCGAGGCGGGCTCATGAGAGGCCGGGACCCGCCTCCGGAGTTATTGGGTCAGCAGCAGAAAATCTTACGTTTACTCAACGACTGGCATACGTTATTCGAAGACCTGGAGACGAGATTGATGACCACAACCAAAAGCTACGCTGCAACAAAAACTAATAAGGGGGCTTCTCGAACGTTCTCCTTAGTTCGGTACCATATCTGTCGAATCTGGTCCAACATAGCCTTTGCCTCGTCAGAAATGGTGTACGACGAGCACTTCGACGACTATCAGACCACAGTGGAAGAAATGCTAAAGACAGTGGAAAACCGAGCTCCAGGCCGCCAAAGCAAATTTGAGTTCGAAATGGGCTTCATCGCGCCAATCCTGTTTCTCGTCATGAAGTGTCGATATCTCAGTCTTCGATTGAAGGCACTTCAGTGCCTGGCCGTTCTCCCGGCGCCAAGAGAAGCACTCTGGGAGAGGGATGGCATGTATGCGGTGGCACGGCGTATGGTGGAGGTAGAACACGGCGTGATTCTGGATAGGTATGGACAGATACCGCCTGGAGTCGAGCCTTTGCGTCCGGGGTTGCCTGTCAAGACCATGCGAGTGGAGCAGTTCGTCACTGAGACGCTTGATATGACCGGCAGGGACGTCTTCGGCCGCAAGGTCCGGGGGACTAAGGTGATTTTCTTCATGCGTGCGGCAGACGACTCTGTTCGTCTTGTCCCAGACGTGCTTCCTGGTGCTGGCGTCGAACTACCCGAGTGGTCTCTAAAATGGGCATACGATAGTATTTCTTCGGACACAAGTGGTGGACGAGAAGCGCAAAATATTGTCGATGACTCAGAGGTGATGGCTCTCACTCAGGCATATCAACAAAGGCTCATGGGTAGTCGAAAGGAATAATTGCTACATTATCTTTTAGATTCATCCCTTTCAAGGGATAATATAGTGTTCTGCGACATAGACAGTCTTTACTGTGCGATGCTGGTGTAAATGAAATCATACGTTGCGGCAAGAACGGCTTTGCCGTCCTTCACCGGCTCTCGGCCCGGAAGGTGTCATTTTCGGAGTGGAACCGGATACTCCGGTGGAGATTGTGGGTTTGGAGACTAAGACTGAATGTCTGTCTTCAGGGCCAACATACCTCTGAGGCTAAATCACGACACTCGAGACTGGGTCTGAACAGGGGACCATGAGGATCATCCGGCGACGCGGGGTACGGAGTGATGCAGCCCTGCTGGGCTAAATGGTCTACACGTACTCTGAGCTCTTTGTCTACTTCGGATGCTGTGGATCACCGCCTCCGGTTTTTGAAGATCTCCCGAGAGTGGTGTACCGTAGGCGCCGAGACAACTCTGTGAGCTTACTTAGTCTGGCCCGCCCGTGGCAATTGCGGGCATCTTCAATGTTGCGTAGGCTGTATCGGAAATGAAGGCTAATTAGTCACGCGCTGCCCCTTGCTCTAACGAGGTCCGTCGTCCTGCAACATTTTAGCCACCCACGACGTCGGATCTTGCAAGTCAGAAAAGTTGGGCAAATTCAGACCTGACATCCGGACGTGGCGCGCCACAGGAAATGGTGTAAGGGACGTCGGGTCCGACTTACCCAATGCGACAAGCCCTGGATTCCGAGCAAAGACCATGTCTAAATCTGAATCGCCTTGTCTGACTCCGGCGAGGAGCTAGCTTTGTTGGTCCAGCACTTGGTCTGATAGTCACACTCGGCTGCCCGACGGAATCCGTGTCACTTTCCAATTATTCCCCCATTCATTGGACGTTGGCCGACATCCCATCGCCTGGGATGGCACAGCCAACATCCCCGGCTGCGCTAATGCATTAAATTTGCCCATATTTGCGATTGGAGGCGCCTCCTCGGCCTCCACTCCCCCCGCACTCCACGTGGACTCTGAATCGCACAGTTGACGTCAAAACGAGCCTGTGCCCAGGAGCCAGGGGTGCATGGCGCGGAAAGATGGGCTAAAAGAGGGCGGAAACATATGGGGTTAAAAGGAAAGTATCCTTGTCTGCTCGTCGGAGCATTGGGAGTGTCGTGGGAGAATAAAACAAGAGGTCATGCCACTTCGATCGAGGGCAGAATTATTCCAGCAGCTAAAAATGTATTGAATGCAGCTTTGACTCTTTTGACAATCAGTTTTCACGATGTTTTACTTACCTGTTATTGCTGCAATCATCTCATACCTTCTTCTTGTACGGGCTCTCAGATACCGGCGCCGAGATGACATCCAGAAACGGTTCCCTTACAAGACGAGGGAGGAAATGGCTTCCATGTCGCTCTCGGATGCTGCCGCAATAATAAGGGAGCTCTCAGAGCAGGAGTTTCCCACAATCTTCTACACATCGGTATCCTTCGCACTATTCAAGGTTTGCATTTCTCCTACTATTTACAATCATCCCAATGACTGAACTCCGACGCAGACGTACGGAATTCCGACTATTTCCAAGCTTCTTGTCGCTACGAGTCAGCTTTCCGGTGACGCCACAGCCTCAAAGCGGCGCACCGACACAGGCGTCTTGATGACAGAAATCATGATGAACAAGCCCGAGTGTCCTCGTAGCATCGAAGCTATCGCTCGCGTCAACTTCCTCCACGACCGCTGGCGCAAAGCTGGGAAGATCTCCAACGACGATTTGCTCTACACACTAAGCCTCTTCGCCCTCGAGCCAGTGCGCTGGACCGCTAGGTACGAGTGGCGAGATCTGACCATGCTCGAGAAGAATGCCATGGCGATGTTTTGGAGAGACCTGGGCAAGGAGATGGAGATTTCGTACGATTGTTTGATCCCGCACATGGCTGAGAAAAACGACGCCATCGCATGGCTAGATGCTCTGCAAGTCTGGAGCATCAACTACCAAGAGAAGTACATGGTTTACGCCGTCCCGAACGAGAAGCTTGCACATGCAAACGTGCATCTACTACTCCTCGATCTTCCGAAGTGGTCGCACAGCTTCGTTTTCGCCCAGCTACGGTGTTTGATGGAAACCCAGTTGAGACATGCAATGGGGTAAGTAGTGGCAAACTGGTCTTGAATGCAGCTGTCGGTTACTGACCTTCATTCTAGTTACGAGGACCCTAGCGACTTTCAATTTTCCGTTTTCAACGCTATCATCAACACGCGACGCTGGATTCTCAGAAATCTTTGCCTTCCGAGGCCCAAATGGTGGACCAACCCGATGCTCAAGGACATCGACAAGAAGACTTGCCGATACTACTTACCGACCTATTTGGCCCATCCATACTACGTCAAGCCTACCTTCTGGTCACGATGGGGGCCTGCCGCTATCTACAGTCGTCTCATCGGTGGCCGCCTTCCTGGAGATGAGGGTACTAAATACCATCCTGACGGTTATCTGATTCCCGAAGTAGGACCTGATTCCCAAAGGGGCAAGGGGAAGGAGTACATGGATATGACCAAAGAACGAATTTCACAGGCTAGAGGCTGTCCGATGGCCTTTGGAGTGTGAGCCACGGTGACTTATGCCACAGTATAGGGTATTCTAGAGCTTCGGGTAGCAGATATGGTTGCATTTGGCCGCGGAAGTTTCCCGCCAAAAGAGATTGTCATGTAACATGAGCGAATGACAGAGCGTGCGAGAGACGATTCCCACTATGAATTAAAGACCTTTGACTAGCTACCTCGTACGTGTTTCGCAGAAACACTTTGCTGCGTGAAAAGCATAGATCTCATGTGAGTCTCGCTGATGGCTTCGAGGGCAGAATAGGATCTTCACATTGTCATTTACTCTCATCGCTAAAGACAGTCTCAACACTAGACAGGTGGGTAATTTCCGTCGGGGACAGTTCGCACATGTGTCAGTCAGTGAGTTTGAGAGTTGGTCGTTTCTGGGCCGAGGGTTAAATTTCCCCGCGAGATGGCTAGTCATCTGATGCGACTCAGCCTACCAAAACGCTAAGACAGCACTTTCGGTTTCCTAATTCAATAATCGAACTATATTTACCCTTTTTCAGACGCGATCGTAGATCGATGCCCGTCAAGCTGGGTGGAACAACAATCTTACAAATGATCGGCCTCCGTGAGGAATCGGCTTTTACCCCGGGTTCGGGCTTTCGACACCGACCGTCCGGCAGGCTGCAAACATCCGAATAGTATGACGATGCTTTGACCACAGCACTTTGAGCTCATACGAATTCCAGTCAACCCCAATGCAATTTCGACAAGCAATGGATGCACTATCTGGCTCGCGTCTGTGTGCTCCGTCGATAGTCTGTCTTGCATCTAAGCCATGAGTCTCCGTCGTTTTCCACCATTACTCTTCGGGTTGCCTGGTAGGAAGCCTGAAATTTCGGCTGATTTATGTAAGCTCTAAGCCCAGCACCAATGAGCACGACCATTCCTGACGCTGATGCCACATGGTGGAACATGAAGGCAACAACAGCGTGCCCAAGCCAGCCATTACTTCACGCTGTATCTACATGGGCTGAAGGCAATTATCAGTATACAGAGCTCTTTACACAGTTCGGACAATGCATGGTCAACGTAAATCGTTCTCTCATGTTCCACAAACTACAATAACTAAGCAATCGCTAGACCCATGTGATACCCTGCAATTCGCACCACCAATCGCCCTCGTTCTCGTAGTAATCAAACTCAGACTTCCCATAAAGATCCTTCTCTGCGTTGTCCACTGTGCAAACATTCAAGTTGAAGTTGCAAGGCTGCATTGCGTCGAACAAAACGCCGTTCGGTGACACCTCTTCCCAAGGGTTGGTCAGCTGCTCGTAGTCGTGCGTGTCGAAGCAGGTTGTGGGCCCGAGGAAGATGTCCTCCTTAGTCAGGCCGTATACGTCTTGCAGCTTAGATGCGAGGCGATGTTCGGGCACGAAGTCGTCGCTACCCTTCTTCTGCAGCCGGTACTTGGTCCAAAGGCCGTTGGGCTGCTGCTGGCAGTAGAAGGCGCTCCTATAGTCCTTGTAGTAATCGTTAGGATCGCATTCCGTCATATTGTAGACCCGGAAGATGAAGACGTTCTGGGCCTGCAGGATCAGACCCATGGCGTTGATGCTGACGGTCTTGTACATCCAGTTCTCGACGTCGTCTTGTGTGAAATTCTTGTTGCGGACGAGGTAGTTGCCGCCGTGGAGGACGGTGTTGATGCCCCACTTGGTGTCGTTGATGGGTGCGTCGATGATGTTTCGCGCGTATTGGCCGATGGACTTTTTGTATTCATCCAACTTCTGGCCCATCTGGTCGCCAATGGCCGTCCACCTCACGAATTCCTTGTCTGCGGTCGGCGCCACCAACATACCGCTCACGATGATGTTGTTTCCTTGTACCGCTGAGGCAATACCACCCTGAACAGCTCCGAACACTGCAGTGGTCGGGAAAGCGTTGAGGATACCGTTCATCCACGCAATGGCCATCTTCCAGCCCGTGACGTTGTCCTTTGGCTTCGGCCACAATTCGGTGACCATCTTGGAAAGCCGCATGCCCAAGATAGCTGCTGTGTATGTCACAGCGAGGTTAAGGTTGTTGACATAATTGTTCCATCCCTGGATGCCCATGAGCGCATACCTGGGTATCATTAGCAGAAGTCGAAGATGACGAGGCTCAACGAGAGGTGACGAACCATCCAGGAAGTTGGACAGGGGAGCATGGCTGTCCAGCATTGCACCATTCATTTACGCCGCAAAAGAAGTTTGGTGCGCCGAGGTAGGCTCCCAGTGCCTGAATGTTGTTGTTGGGGTATTGGATGTAATGTTGCGAGGCGTTCGCCAAAAAGCCGTCAACATCTTCCTCTATCCATGTTTGGTTGGAAAGTGCCTTTGTTTCGCAAGTTGCTTGCCGGGTATCTAAGATAGTAGGTTGGGGGAGGCTGATGTCGTTGTTGCTGACTGGGACTGGCGTGGCAACGGTCTCTGACATTATCCACGCGACATAGGTCGCGATTATATGTTGGTAACGCATGATGAGCAGCGAAACAAAACAAAAGAGGCGCTAGGACAACGATCAAAACCAAACCGCGACTGGGTATATGGAACTGTGAACGACCGACTGCAGATGAACGCTGAGTTTGGGAGAAGCATCAAGGTTTCCCTCGACGATGATATATTTCTCTGGGTTGCCTAGCACACACCCGGCTTATGGCGGCACATACAGCGGCTATCGTGACCACCATCGGAAATGCGGTCTAGCCAGCCAGATAAGGGGGGATTGCGCAATCGGCAAGGTCCATTCAACCATATCTCTAATGACTCTGGGAACATATTAAGAGTAATTGGTAAGGGACGGATGTGTGGAGAGATATCCCACGCCGAACCGGATGTCCGCTCTCGCGTGATAGCTTGCCACTGGACCACTTTGGCCAATGGGAGAACGCTTGTTTGCGGGAAACCATTGAGATAGGGGAGTTGGCATTTGTCCCAAACGGAGTTATCAGCTTGGCAGGTGAAGGATCTGAGTCGTAAGAATGAAGCTTATCTCAGATGAGTGTCAGCCCTAATGTTGCGAAGTCAGGTCCTTCGCTGTTGCCGATGAGACCTAAGCAGAGAGAATAGTTGATCTCAATATTTTCGCTATATTGACTTAGGGCGTTATAAGGTCGTTTCGCGGCAGAGGCCGCATGATTTGCCGGGGTACCCTAATTTTAGAAAGCTAGGGGCCGGCGGCGATGGAAGCCGCAACTCCAGTTGTTGGTTGAGCAGCGAATGAGGGCTCAGCTGACGTCCTCAAACAGGAAAAAAGTTCCCAGAAGGAATGGACACGGGAAGGATTTGACATTGACGGAATCTGAAGCTCGAGCACGCGATTGCAGCGTTACGTTGAGGTTGTTTGTGGTGCAGAGGAATTATAGTAATTGAGTCAGTGTGTTGAAGTATAAAATATGAGGGCTCCGGGTCTTTCCCAGCGAAAGTTTCCCAGCCTGGAACGGATCGTCCGTGACATCTCCACGTCTTTCGGCAACACCGATCTTACGCCATACTCGCGGGTTATCTCGTGTCAACCCGCGGAGAGTGGTTTATCAACACATTGGTGTAAATGATCATGCATCGTGACTCTAGAATTATTGATAACAACGGGCGGAGGACCTCAACAATTGTTCGCAGACAAGCCTCTCATTCCCAGCTTCAACCACACTCATTTGGCGTTCGTAATATCGACCATGTTTGTTAGACTCTTTCTCATGTTTTGTGCGCTCGCACTTGGCGCACTCGCCGATAGACATCACTTCTGCTGGTGCAACAGCGAGCAAGTACCAGACCACGACCTCTGCTTGACGCAAGCCGCTTGCAACTATTATCCACAAGACAAGTTTTTCGGCGTGCACTACGGCGACCCGAACGCGCCAACTATTTCCAAGATGAACTTTAAGAAGCAAGAGTGCTATGGCACGCGCGCATGGCCCATCATCCCGCACCCCTTCCTCGGAGGCAACGAATTTGAAGATGCGTGTTACGCTGCCGCGGCGGATCCCGCCGTCATCAATGCGTGCGGCATCTCACCGGGAACACGAACCAAAATCAAGTCTCGTTGTTCTCACGGATTTGACTAAGCTTTAATGTAAAAGGTAAGCCACTTCCGCCACGACCTGAGTGTGGCCCATACTCTCGGAAGGTTTCTGTGGCTAACTTTCATCATTCAGATACCCACATTACCAAAAAGCCGATGATTCGGGTGGCAGTCATGGGCAGCTGGTGTGCAAGGCTTCCACGCTGATTACGATCATGAATTCTAAGGAAGGAAAACAGCACTATGAAAGGAAGGATGGTGATGTAACAATACCTGGTTTCGAAGAATGTACATAGTAGTTTTCGTTGGAGCCCCAATGATAATTGCCTTTCCTTTGACAACAGAAGCGACATTTTGTTCACGAAACGTCGAAAATCAGTATTCGTGGCCGACGGCAGGCTTACCAATTGATTCAATTCGTGAGCTTGCTCAGTTGAAAAAAATGCCGATAATTTTACACAAAGGAAGCGAATTAGTTCAGGTGCTGAAATTAACTTTCGCTAGTTTGCATCCCTGGCCCCCGCAATATTTACGTAATCAGCAGAGGAAAAGGGCTGTGATGCGCCCCGACGCGACGCGTCAAGGTGGACCGCAACAATCTCAGCGCTGACGGCATGGGCAAGTGGCTCGACGAATTAAGGGCCGCAAACCCTCCTGTTTGGGCTTTGGAGGAAGCCGAAAACTTCATCGAGAAAAACCGGCATCGAGTTAATCTCGATGCCCTCGCCGATCCCGCAAAGGCGAAGAAGTATTATGTTGTCTACTTGTTGCGAGGGCCAAAAGCTGACGGCAAACAATACGGCATTTTTTCGAATCACTCCGAATGCCAAAAACAATTGACAGGTTGCAACAACCGAAGTATGCATACTACCTAATTACCCACCTTTTTCGTTTAGGCTAACGTGTGCTGAACAATGCAGATGTTTCTGTAAAGACCAGGGAGGAAGCTGTGAGCCAATCCTCGCGCTATTACATACAATCACGACTGACGGATGGCAGGTGGTCATTCTTAAAAAAGGCCTCGCTGCGGAATTCACAGAGGGATATTTGCCGCGCTCGCTGACGAACCCTCGGAGCACCACTTTCGAAATTTCTGCCGATTCTGGGGATGACATCACGGACGAAAACGCGCCCAGGAAACGGGTGCGCCTACACGAACCTTCTAAATTGCCCGGAAGCTCTCATGAGCCGTCTTTCATGTCGGAAAATACCGAGCCTCAAGATCAAGAGAATTCCCACGAGCAGGAATGCGAAGACAGCTCTGACAAGGTGGTAAAAGAAGAGACTTCTGATGAGCAGGGCTTTGACCCATCGGTTCCAAAACTTCTCCTGAGTCTGGAACAACAACGCGCTTTGGATCTTGCAATTGAAGGTCACAATCTTTTTATCACCGGGTGAGGCATTATCATGAAATTCAGCGTAATTTGCATGTTTATTCACAGCTGACTGTACAGCTCTGGCGGTTGCGGCAAATCCTACCTCGTCGAGACCCTGAACAACGAATTTAGGACTCGCGGAAAGAATGTCTACCTACTCGCACCAACCGGGCAAGCGGCTGTCAATATAAGAGGTAGAACGACATTTTCCTACATGAATTGGCGGCCCGAGGACCTAGCAAAGACCGACCAGACGCTCGTTGAGCAAGCGCGAGGCCAACTTGTCTGGAAACGCATTACTTCCACCGATGTTCTGATTATCGATGAAATTAGCATGGTTGGCAAACAGTTTTTTGAACGTCTCAGCTACGTCATTCGCATGATTCGACAAACTTTGCGTCCGCAGCCTGCTAATGTGGACAGCCCGTTTGGAGGGATTCAAATAATCGTCGTCGGTGACTTTTGTCAGCTAGCCCCAATAAAGGGTCTCGGATACTGTCGTGCGGAAATACAGTATGACGATCAAGGCAGGGCGTGGCACCCATGTGGATTACTTCAGTCGACCAACGATCGTCGCAATTGGTATTGCCCCGAGAACGACGGGCATCCCAGATTCGCTGACAGTGAAAAATGGGCCTTCAAGTCTGAGGATTGGCTGCAGTGTAACTTCAGGTATGTCCTCTCCGGTCTTCACAGTGCTGGAGCATGCGCGCAGCGTTACTCACGCAGTGCATGAATAGTCATATAAACCTGACTACGATACATCGCCAGAAGGATGCAGGCTTTGTACGAATACTTCAGAACATCCGGATGGGCCACATTGATGACCGCGATCTTGCTGTTCTTTTGCAGGCACGCAGAACTGGGGATGGAATACGCTTGTTCAGCCACAACTGTGATGCCGAGGATTACAACGACAGTAGATTCGCAACTCTCCCGGGTGATACCGAAAAATATGGTTGTGTCGACCACCCCGCATCCGATGGCGAATATAGTGACCTACACCGGTACACTGACTCACTGAGCATGAAGGTGGGCATGCCTGTCGTCTTGCAAGCAAATGTGAGTGCCTCTGCTCAAGCTACTCAATCGCTTTCGCAGAGACATGCGCTGATGAAAGCCGTAGGTCGATGTAGAGGAAGGCCTCTGTAATGGCAGTCGAGGCAAAGTCATTCGTTTCGTATCCTCTACTGAGAGCGAGCCTATGAAGCCCAATAAGAGGAATTACAGAGGTGATCATCTCGGATACGATATAGCATGCGCGCGATACACCCAAATCAGAAATTTCAGAAAGAAATTGAGGGGGAAACCCTGTAAGCAATCTCATATGGCAGTTTCCATATATCCATGGATACTGACGTGTTTTCCAGATCCCGAGGTTCTGTTTTCAAACGGCCAACGCCGTGTCATCGGTCCAGACTGCAGCATTCTCAATATCGAACGTTACGCAGAATCATCTGGGGATGAAAACAAATTGATCTACTCGTCGAGAACGCAGATTCCTCTTGTTCCTGGATGGGCTATGACTATCCACAAGAGCCAAAGTCTGACACTTGACCCTGTCATTATCGACCTCTCGCGTGCCTGGGACGGAAGATTGAAGTATGTCGCGCTCAGCAGGGCTCGTTCGCTCCAGGGTCTGCAGGTGAGAGCGTGCAAGAGCGACTTCAGAAATAAGTTGGAGCTTGATCCTGAGGTAAAGAGTTTTATGGTAAGAGTCGAGAATTGTTCACAGGAGGGGAAGGTCTAGCCATTGCCGGATATTTTACGGCGGTTACCAAAGACTTTTGCTAGGGCCTGTTAAGGAGCGAGGACGGAACGAGACGTAGCCTAATCATACGACGAGTTATATGTCACAACTTTTATTCGGATTGACCGACTAGTGATAATTATCTAATTTACAATTTTTGAACATGGCGTCATGTCATTTCACGATGTTACATCTCTGCACTATCAGAAGACAACATGGCATACCTCAGCGATAGACAAGTAAATGCTAGCATCACGCCTATCGAGGAGGAAGATATCGTCTCTCTCGTAGCTTGAAAAGCCTCACTCAATTGTACCTACAAGAATATAGGGGTAAAGGAGAGGGGGGATGCTATACTAAGCTTCAATTGATCACAAACGTTACACGACGATACAGCTAACACTCAGTATCTAGATGAGGCTCAACGAAATAAGAATCTTCCTCCCGCAGTCCTTCCTACAGCACCGTTATGTCTTAGAACGCGTACAGCATCATCGTGACCTCCAACCGCCGCGCTTTGAAGTGCAGTCTGGCATTTTCGTCCCTTGAAGCCACAAGCATTCACATCAGCACCGGCTGCCAGTAAGCGCTCGATTACGTCTACATGGCCTTTCTCGGCTGCCGCATGTAAAGCCATCCCATCTCCGTAAATACCTCCCAGGGCGTGGACATTGGCGCCTTCCTTGATAAGAAGATCGACTATCTCGAGATGACCTCGTGAACATGCCCCTTGAAGAGCTGTGTAGCCCTTGTACTTTGCTGGGGCACCATTGATGTCAGCCCCATGTTGGAGAAGAAGCTTCAATATAGTCTTGTAGCCGCCGCCTGCTGCAGCTTGCAATGCCGTGTAACCTGCCGTTGGTGACGGCGGAGCATTCACGTCGGCTCCCAATTCCAGTAGTCGGCTGACCAAATGCTCATGTCCTCGCTCTGCTGCTGCCTGAAGTGCCGTTCTTCCGTTGTACCGGGTCACGACGACTGACGACGCTGGTGACTCGTGTGCCGGATGCGCAGGCTTCGACAACACCTCGTTGACCTTGGCCCCCGCACTAAGCAGAATGTCGACGACCTTCTCATTCCCATGTCCGCAGGCGATCTGCAAGGCATTCCTTTGGAAGTTGTTGCCGCCGGAGAAGTGGATATCGGCCCCGGCGTCGACCAGCATCTGCACGGCGTTTTCGTGGCCGTGCAAGCATGCAGCCTGGATGGCCGTCTGTCCGTAGTATCCGCGCGGGGGCTCGTTGACGGCAGCCGGGTTGGCGGCAAGGATTTCTCGGATATGGTCCAGTTCTCCGCCTCTGGCGGCAAGCTGCAACGGAGTCCAGCAATATTCCTCTCCGTCGTCGGTCTGCAGGGTCGGGTCCCACGCGGCGTCCAGAGGCGGCAGAGATTTCTGCATGATGGAAAGCAAAGGCTCAAGATAGTAGGTGGTATCGTGAGATCCGGAGGAAGTCATCCAACATCGGGGCTTTGAAAGGATGAAGTTGAGTTGCGGTACTATGCAAAGCGGCCACAGTCCACATCAGGAAAGCCAGTCAGATTTATGCTGGTAGATGCATGCATTGAGTCGTATGGTGTTGGCGAGGAGGCACCCTCATGTTGCCTTGTCAAGGCCGTTCGATTATCTTACATGCGCTAGCTTGCCTAATCATAGTGATTATCGGGACTCGGCACAGATGTCATCATCAAGATGCGGGGGCTAATGGCGGCATGGGTCTGGAGCGAGGGAAACGGTTGGACGAATATAACTTTATGCTGTCTCTGGTGCATTAACACTTTATCGGTCCGTTCTAAACAGCATCATAGAGCTCCCGCTGGCTTCCATGCCTAAATCACTTCGCAGAGTGTTGGCAACGCCCCTGCCAGCCATTCACATTACACCGAAATCGATTTCAGATTTTGTGTTTTAAAGTGCGAAAGCAAAGCAACACCTCACCATTTTAATTCTTCTATCTGCTGCAAATAAAATCAAGGGAAAAGTAAACAACACATGGTTGAGATTCGCAACGGTAAAGACAGTGTGACCACCCTCAGCCACGTCTCAATCCACCACCCTACATCCCGTATTCACTGCATCGACAACCAAGTGCGAATGTAGATGATGTAAGTGGTGTTCTCGATCTTATATTGCCGCTCGAAAAGGCTCGGTCTGATGCATAGCGCCCTTCGCCCAGGCCGCAAGCCTGGCGTCATTTGATCATCCGCGTTTAACCGCAGAGGGCCTTGGTGTAGCAGGCGTCGTCGAGGAACCTGCTAGCAGCGGTGAAGGCGTTGTCAACAGGAGCGCACTGGCGAGCCTTGAGACGGCGAGCGCCGACAGACAGCTCGCCGTTACCACCGCAGCCCTCGCCGCCCTGAGCAAACGCATTCCAAGGGGACAGAGTCCAGGCACGGTGGCCAGCAGGGAATCCAGCAAGGCTGGGCTGGCCGTTGTTAGGCCTCAAGCTGTTATAGATCCTGCCCTCATACACGTTGTTGTCCTCCATGCCGGCAGCATCGGCGACGCCGTTGGTGTAGTGTCTCCAGCGGATGACCTGGTCCCAGCTGAAGCCGCCAAGCGCGGCGTACTCTTGCTCGTTGGGGTACGGGCTGAACTGACCGAGAGTGCCGGAGACCTGGATGAAGTTACCAGCCGCTGCGATCTCATAGACGTAGCCGTTGCCGCCGAACATCTGAGTTAGGAATCTGACAGCGGTGTCCTCGCTGGCGGTGGTCGAGACATAGCCGTCATTGTCCCGGCTGGCTCCGCTTTCAGCGCCGACAGCATGGTTGTACATGCTGACGTTCGGGGTAACCTCAAGGAAACGGCTGGCACCCCTGGGAGCAAAGTTGCCAGCGGCGCGCATCTCAGTCGGGGTTCTGGTTCGGCGCGCCACACTCTGAACTGAGCATTGCACAGAGCAGTCCACAGGTTGAGGACAAAGAGAATAAGAATGTTCTTCTGGAAAACCATATTGGCGATTTGTCGTGCAAGCGACGAGACAAGTAGTGAAAAATGAGGGACGATATAAGACAAGGCTTGAGAGAGTGGTTAGAGTTGAGTAGCGAATGAAGTGATGGTGATGATGATAAAAGACAGAATCGACAGGTGAGAAGGCATCCCGCTTTATACTTATCCTGGTGCTCATGATGCCCAGCATCTTCTCACAGCTCAACTCTGACGATTTCGGCGTGGGCAGTACTTCTCTCCCAGTACGATGTCATCCTCTCGATCTTGGCTGCGAGCTTCATAGTGGCTGAGTGTCGTCGACTCAAGAGACAGCGTTCTTGGGAATTCGAGGTCGCATGCCGGCACCATGACTGGGTTCAAGCCCAAGCTTGGCTCCGCAGCCTCCGCTCTTGGTGTTCAGTACTTTTCTCTCAACATGACGCCGTTCCCGAAATGTTGGCCACGAGCTTCCATGTCCTGGTGGCTGAGTGTTGACAACTCAAGATACAGCTGTTGCGAGTGCGATATCAAACGCACGCACCATAACAAAGTTCAAGCTCAAGCTTGGCTCGTACGAGTACAATTACAATTATTAGGCACAAGCTGACGTACCGGCTTTACTCCGATAATATCTCAACTTGATTGAGTCGAACGCTCTCGAACGCTTGGCATCGCAATCCGACCTAGTGTAGAATAGCTCAAACGCTGTACCCCACTCCATCTGTCATCAAACAACCCTCCTCGACTGCTGGGCAGACGGAACAATGCTCGTTATTGAACTAGGTGCTAGCCGGTCAAATCGTACGCAAAAGCGGAGAATGATGTCCTCGTAAGGCTATGTCGGAAAGCTCTTTGAGACAGATTTCCCCGAGATCTCCGGAGCACACATCCACTCTCTTTCATGGTCCCAAGTTGTAAAGGCAACCACTGCGCATTATCTTGTCATTCCAGACATCCAATCTTTCACACGCTACCCACTCCTGCATCGTTCGCGCGACCATTACTGGACTACAAAGCTTCTCTCTGCAGACCTGTTGCACCGCCCGCTACCAACTTCCATCCAGTCAGAACATCATCATCATGAAGAACCCAACCACTGCGCCCTGGAGCCTCAGCGCCTCTCGCAACGACGTTGAAAAGCTTCTCCGGGGCTTCCGACCGGCGGCGATGGAGGACCGCTGGATGTTCCGCGCAGACAAGCCAGACGTCTGCGGAGACTTCGTGGTGCATGTGCACAGAAGCTGGACTGGGGACGAGCTTCTGCGCATAAACGTGGTCTTGGCGGCTCCGGGTGGAGGTGCCCCACCAGCAAACACCGACGAACCTCACGCTTCGATAACCGACATCACGTGGGACAGGGGGGACGGCGGTTTTCTTTCTACCGAGGCGGAGGCTAAGGAACTAGCAACTGCCCTGTTACGGAACGTGCTGGGGTGTGACTTGTGAGCTATGCTAGATGAGGAAGTGTGTTCGTTTCCGGACCAGATGCAGAGGGCATTCATGGTCGAAATGTACCGAGACCGAGGTCGCTTGTTGTTTTAGTCAAAGGAATAGAATGCCTATGTCCCCTGTGTCATCAGAGCTGTTGAAAGTGCCGTAACTATTGTGCATGCTATTCCACTCAGTGCGGGAAGAAGGACTGCAGTACTTGAGATGATGACCGGCGAAAGTGTTTCCCAACTTTGCTCAACCATAAGACTCGCAGTTCTCCAAAGGGAAAGTATCAATATTTCCAGATTAGATGAACCTTCCGTCTTTTACATTCGTGTTGTGAAGTCCACCAGCAGTCAATGGAATAGCCTTTCTTAGTCTGTGCAGACGCAAGCTAGTCGATCTTGGCCCTTCAACTAGGTTTGACTGGTCTGACGTTGCCCAGATCTTATCAACTATGTTCAGAACGACCGCTTAAGGCATCGTCCATCACAATTTAAAGACGGAGTAACCCTTAGCAGGGCTGCAGCGCCAAGATGCGTCATGTGGATTTGGACGTGCAGATATTCTCCGTCCCGGTCCGCGGGTTGTCGCCGGCAGTCCAGCCTCCAGTGCGGTTCGTCCCCACACCCGCCATCCGAATGGGCCGAAGGAAGGGATGAAAAAGACGGACGGCATATTTTTCTTGGCGGAGGCGCAATGCGCCAGTTTTCCGGCAGTGTCAGGCTATTCTATGAATCGTCATTGATTTGGGCAGTAAGCTCAATTATCCTGAGTTTGAGCCCCGTACTTGCCAAGTCCGGCTTTCGACCGAACTGTCTACAATGCACGCAGCTCTGGAGACAATCAGCCCTGTATCAACGTCTTTTCAAGATGTTTATTGGTACCAGATGTGTGCGAGAGTCTACTTCTTGAGTCAGCTGGCTTGATGTGTTTATTTCGGTCTTTCCGACGACATCTCTCGGTCCTAGCTGGGCATATCTGATCCGAAAACGAGGTGTCTCGGTCAGATGTGCCTTCTCTCGCCCAGAGAGGCATACCTGACCCGAAAGCACTCGTATCCTGCAATACTAATAGGCATCCTGTCTCGCACTTCGTTGAATAAACCAGAATACTCATTCACCAGCTACCAGCTTTGTCTCTTCGACTCCACGTTCACTTAAAAACTTACACAAAACACTCTTTTTACTCATCCACCCTCAAAATGCGTGCTGCCGCCTTCATCGCTACATACTTCCTTGCTGCAAGGTTCGCTGATGCACAACTTGATTTGATCCGTTCTGTATATAGCTAACCACAGGCACTGTCTTACAGCGCTGCAGCTCAGACGATCTACTGCTGCAGCTCCAACGAGAATGACCAAATTGTGTACGAGACAGATGAGACCGCTGTCTGCTGCCAGAGCTCTGGAGGCCAACTCCAAGGTGTAAGTTGATTGAGAATGCACCGGAAACTCTGGCCAGGGGCTAATATCGTGTGACTTTTAGGACGAGTGTTTGCTGGAAGTAGGACGCTTCGGTTTCAGCCAATGCTGCCGCCAACAGACGGTTTTCACTTGCGACTTCTGATTCGCAGCGACCGCTGATGAGAAGATGGTGTACTGCAGTCGAAGTATCGTTGGATCACTGTCCATGCGTGGATGCCAAATGCGGGAGTGTTTGTCCGCGGTCACGTATTTTTGTTAGAAGCAGATATACTGTTCGTCATGTTCGTTGCGAATTACCATTCCCATGGTTCGAGAACTTTAGACTGCACCTTAACTCTATCCCTGTTAAACTCTCATGATGCAATGCCCTTGCTGATTAAAACCCCACATACCTAAAGGAGCAGATCCATAAATGTTGATAGTTATCTAGGACTAAAGTGGTAGTCGGGTTGGTGACGACCGGCGAACTTCCGGTGTCGCCGTCTTGGCTCCACGTAGGGCTGTGACCTCTCATCAACAAGTGCGGCGGACATAGCTCAGTTGGGAGAGCGTCAGACTGAAGCGGGTTTACATCCGGGAAACTTCATTCAATCAATCTGAAGGTCGTGTGTTCAATCCACACTGGCCGCATACTCTTTTGCTTTTGTTCAAAGAATTCCTTTTGCTTCCTACTCCATTACACCAAGAGATACTCGATGCAGCGACTTGTTTGCGCCACTTACGGGGAAGTAAGCAACATATTTGGCGGAGATCATATGTGCTGTCCCTTCCCAGCCATGATCCTGGGATCTCAGATGTCTTTCAGGCTGCTGCTACTGACACATCTTGTCGCGTGACACTAACTCCGGATCTTCCCGCTTCGAGGTCCTCAATAAGGGCCTTAGCCTTTAGGTCCAAAAGCTGGCTGACATGGCTGTCGGCCTTACGCCTGGCGTGACGACTGTCGCACGAGGTGTAATTTGTAACACGTCCGTCGTCCTTGCTCACAGATAACTGGGAACAATTGAGACGAAGTCCACATCCCGCACAGTCATGGGAGACCACAATAGACATCCATCGTTGGAGTACGCTCACAGAAATCGGGAGGTCTGACACAATCCTTGGTGGCGCGGTCAACCTCATGGACCACGTCCGTGTCGCGAATAGATCCTTTGTTGAGATCTCCCTAGAGAGTCTCACCTTCATGAATGACCGCTCGACAGTGGAGGCTTATACGATTGACAGGCCTACACGATTGACCAAGCTCGATTGGTAATCCGGATGCTAAATGAAGGAAGTTTGTAGGAGAAATCTATCTTTCTCATCTCTGAAACAAGGTGACCTGCATTGATGGCGGTGGACTGTGGTTGAATTATGCCGATGCTGATGGACCTTACACAACAGCTTGTACTGAAAGACGAGAGCGTAGCCATCATAGGTAGGAATCCTGCAAGTAGCCTCCGTGACTCTCAATAATACCTCTTCAAAGGTCTTTCGGCAACTGGCTTGTTGATCATTCATCAAGAGCTGATCCTTCGTCCTTTTCCCCGTGTTCACCGTATCACTTGCTTGTAGGCCAGTTATCCATGCCTGGACTCGTCTAATGCATTTACGGAGAAGAGTCAGACTCAGCCGGAAGTCCAGAAAATGCTGAACGACCATCTTACCGGAGGTGACTAAGCCTTAGTAGACTCCAATTTGGTACCCTTCAAGACCTGTGGTCATCTATGGAGGCAGTGCCTGCCCGTGAGTTTAAGCTCCGGTTGTTGCGTCGAGGGAGATTCAGTGATAAAGGTCTGGTAGAATAACCGCGCTCACACATTAGCTCCGAATATTTCAGCTAAGCCGCGGAGGACCTCAAGGTGGCCAATTAAAAACAAGCATTCTGGTATTGGCAAGTTCCTGCACGTCTCAATCCTTTATGGCAAGTAGTGGCTCGGTCGTACCTGCATTCTGAAGCCGACTGGAGCTCACCCTGAAATTTTCTTCCTTCCTTCTACCAACCTACCGCCCACCCAAGCCACTTTCACTTTTTTTCACATCACAAGCTCAACAACATCATGGCGGACGCTTCAGAGGGAGCGGCACCAGCTTCGGCTCCTGAGGAGAGCCCCCTAGGCAACCTCGGAGGTAACTGATCCATCTCGTTTGCACCTTCGATCTTGCGCTGACCTTGGAGCTTCACCGCAGCTATGTTCAAGTGGAGATACAACCATATCTGGAAGCTCTACGGACAGAAGAAGTACGAAGAGGCCGAGGCCGAGGCTATGAAGATGTTGATGGAGCCACGACTTGGGGATTTTCATCGAGCCGGAATGCACTTGCTGCTTGCTGGCTCCCCTCATGACTACGTCGACAATGCGAAGCAAGCGGTTCGCCTTTATGGCAAAATTCTCGAGGAGCACGGTTCCAACATGTCTCCTAAGGAGCAGAGCGGCATCCAGAACCTCATCAATAGGTCCAACCAAGCCTTGGAGAAAGCGCTCAGAGATCAGAGCGACATTGAACGCAATGTTCGCGAGTACCTGTAAGCTGTTTGAACCATATAACCATTGCGGTCCAATCTATTCGAAGCTGACTCATTCTCTTTACAGGGCTAGCGGCAAGACAATCGATGACCTCCACGACGAGCAAATGAAAGAGCTGCAAAAGCGCGAGATGGAGCTCGCTAGGGTCGAGATGAGCAAGGAGGAAGTCGCCTTGGGATCCCAGGTCCCACCTTCCAGCCAGAGCGTTCCCAATGACGCCGGCGCCGCCCGGAGCTCTGGTGTGGGCGGCCCCCCGTCCGCTGCCCGGAAGCTGCCGATGGAAACGGACGAGGAACTGCCGACCTATGACTGATGATATGGAACCGTGGCGTCGTTTTCGCCTACTCAGGCACGTTTCTGGTGTCGCTCGTGTGTTCTGCCTTCTGGGCGGCAAGATCAAGAGCTAGCTTAAACCCTATCGACTTCGCTTCTATCAGCTAAACAGAGAGTTACGCAACCAGTTGTACTCATGATTCGCACCGTGCATGATGTGTCATTTGGACGACATGGAATTTTCTGTCCTTCAGGAGGAACCAACATCCTGTCAGTGCCGGGTGTCGATATGAATTGAGACGTTTGAGCTCTCTAGCAGATTTTGCATCTCCATAAGACTTCATTCATACTCATACAACATTGGCCTCGCAGTTTTGGTTCGCTGGATAACCGGTTCCAGCTCTACCGTCTTGCGAAACTGGCTTGAGCCCAGGTACCACCGCGCTTTCTCATGCAAGTACTCATCTTGCTTTCACCCGTTTTTCAGACTCATATGTATCGCATCTTCAATATTTCTGCAACGTGAAAGCTGCGGCTGGCCGCCTCAGAACTTTCGGGAGAAATGTATTTTATAGGTGTGAGACAAACAGTTGAGTCAAAGCTGCAATGAGTTGAGGCCAAGTGAGTTTGCAGAAGTTCCGCAGCATGTTAATGCGTCGACTGCGAAGTTAAAACTTCGCGCAGTTCATGGAAGATATGAAAATTGATGGAAGGTAAATCCAGGAATAGCTTCAGTCCATGAGTCTGGACAATGGTCTGGTAACTAATTTTCTCAGTCCCATTAATCCAAATTTCGTATGCTTTTGAGCACGCGATTCTTCGTGTTGGCCTTGAATCGTTCGGGTTCATTATACGATATTCCTTCGTCGTTAACTTTCCTATTTAAACAATAACAACTTGCACCTTACAAAACTACATAGCACAGATAGCTGACTGGTTACTTGCATCCTTGGTTTCGACACTCTGACACGGAAACGGTATCAGGATGCAGCTTGGTCGCACAAAGTCACGGCCATCTCGGCATGTTGATTATATATCAAGATTATTTTTAGTGTCAGTGACTAGTGTCAGTGAAACCTCCTCTCATCATCATCCCCCTACAAGCAACAAGACATCCTGTTCTTCCAAATGTGGCCCCCTCGCTCGACAAGTACTGGCAGAAATGCGCTTCTTACTTTCAACCTGCCGACGCCGTGTCTCCTCTTACTGGGGGGGTTATGAGACTTCCCTGAAACACCTTTATGAGACTTTTATCTTCATCCTGATATTGAGGCTTTTGACCATTACAGTAAGTTTTGATTGATAGTAATGAGTCGGCCATGAGTTGAGCTTGGTGTTGTGTTAATCCGCTTTGGGCCCGTCTCGCAAGGACTGTGTAGCTGCAATCTTTGCTCAAAGCTTTGTCACGAGTTACGCATAGCGAATTAATCTCCTGATGACGTTTCTTCTAAGCAAGCTTGACGACAATCATCTATATTGTGCCTCATGCAAGGTATTTCAGGGAAGTATTTCGGGGACTGTTACCAAAGCTTCCTATTTCCTGGCAACTGTACGCTCCGCATTTCTCTTGCATGTATTTTTGCCTGAAAAGTCTCCTTTTGCGAGTTGGAAAAAATGTCGCACCAAGGACTCGATGGACGGCGCTTAACGCGCACATGAATCAGTGACATGGCAAATCCGGTTTGTTGCAGAAAATCCCCAGGTTTCGCGACCGCAAATCATCACACCTTATCGCTGTGATATCAGAATCCCGATCGACCCGGTCTTGTGGTTGTTATCGCCGTCAGAATCTACAGGGGTAATTGGCCAATAGCGTCACTGTTTGGGGGCCACATTCTTGTTGTCCCCTTGGTGGTTCTGCCCCGTGTACTCCGTACAGCTTTTTGCGGGCGACATGCGGGGACTAAAAAGTGATGAGGGGAAAACGGCCCTTTTATGGGTTGAGCAGCACGAGACAGTGGTGAGCAGAACATCATCTGCCACATGATGTCAATGGCGTTGATTTTCGACTCGAACAGTTGATCACATACACATTGAATGGAATTGTGGGTATTTGGAGACTCAGCAGAGACTCGAGGTTTCAGCGGAAGGAGTTGGCTGATCGCGGCTTGGCTCTTGGTAAAAAAAACTTCCGACCCATGAGCCCCTATCCCCGATCGGCTTACCGGCCGCCTGCTTTGCCAGGTAATCTTGCGAATTTTGCTGGCCCCCACATGAAACCCAGGAAAGCCCTGCTCATAAGCTGTGACTTAAGCGCAGAAAATAGAGAAAAGTTTGTCAAAAGTAATTGCAGGTCCATGGAACTGCGGTGGTTACGTCGTCTCATCATGGGCAGTTCGTGGCATGCTCGTGGCTGTCACGTTGCCTGCCCCGACGAGAAAGCATAAGCTTGCCAGCATCGGGGGAGGTTCCTTGGGCTGCCGTCTCGGCATCGCACGATCGGCTCGGTCTTTGCTCATCACCCTGCCGCCTCACGGAGCGCCAAGCCGGCCAACAAATATATTAGTGCTCAGCCAAGAACGCGGCTTCGACGCGGCTTCATTCCGGGCCTGGACCTGAATTAGCGGAGAGATAAGCGGATAGCTAAGGCGGTCTATCGGTGGCGGCCCAGGAACAATATCTCGTGTCGACGAAGAAGGTTTTCTGGCTCGTGGTTGCTGCGCCGTCATACCATGGTTGTTGTAGCAATAATGGAGCACACATTTCTCGTCAGGGGTTGGCAGTAAACCCAAGAATTCCTATTCCAGAAAAAGAACTGGAATCACGAAGACGTCTGGCCGCGTTCCGGGCCGCAGTCTCGCCTGCGCCCACCGGGCAGAAAAATAGGGAGTCAATATTCCAGGAGTCGGCAGAAACGCGACCTTGGACGGCCATGTGCCCTTCTAGATTTTCCTCGTTTGACGTCAGCCCATCGTTCCCCGACTCTTTTTCCCCAGGGAGAAGTTTTCAATGGTCCAACTCTGTTTTCTTCTCCACGCGGAGTCTCCGTATTCCCTCCGTAGGCTCCCGCAAGAGCGCGAGAATGGTTCGGACTGTCACCGAACATCGGGATCCAGAACGCGGTGACGGCCCTCACGGTAGAATTTTCGGTCAAACCACCCCCTTCGGGCGGGTCTCGCACAAACGCTATCCTCGCCCGTTGTGGAGTCGCGAGTCAGATGGAAATAACGTCGCGGCCTGATCTCCGGTACCAGAACCTGCAGTCGTCGCCCCATCCATCCCACCACCCACCGCGTTCTGGCGTTGCAGTCCCGAACCTGGAGCGCAGGCTGGAGCCCCAAGGGCAATAGAGCTCATGCGCCCGCAGCACCCGCAACCCGCAACAACACCCCCAGGTCGGTCTCCGGGCACGCGTCCCTGAGTCCCGGGGTCCTCCACTGGAGAAGAAGGCCTGGAAATGCGGACGAAATCGCTCTTACTTCGGCCGTTTTTCTCCAGCTTCTCCACCCTAACACCAGACTGAAATTTTGGATGACGATGTTGGTGTCGAGGTTAGACAAACAGGTAACGAACATCGGCGAAGAACCCACAATGGATCAATGCGGTCGCCGGGTTGGTTGTTGTTCCAGTTTTGGTCCGTCGCGTGGTGTCCGTAGGCAGTTTGTAAGCGGTATTGACTGATCTGCAAAGCTGTTTAAAAGCCTGGCGCCTCCCGTCGTTCAATATGCTTTAGGTTTGCTTGGCAGCTGTCTCTTTATTCTGGACGACCTTATCAGAGCCGCAATCTGCTTGGTGCTTGGCATCTGCTCTTAATCAGATCCGCAGTTTCTCCCCTCGCACGGACAAGCGGAACACAACCTACACGATGCACGGCGTAACATTAGCCCCGAAGATTTCGGGCAAACACAACCCAGACGGCCAAAATGAGGCCCACGTCGAGAACCTTCAGACAGCTCTCCCTGGACTGAACGAGAAGGATGCTCTCGCCGTCGCCCAGGCCGGAGGGTGGGAGGTTGATGCTCTCATTGACAGCTTGGAACGTGAGCTGGAGGCTGCCGGCGGAGTCAAGAAGGGTATCTTCGATCTCGAGTTCAGCAACACCAAGTACTTCACCTGGCTTATCGTCGCCTTCGCCTCCATGGGTGGTCTTCTCTCCGGTCTCGACCAGTCCCTGATTTCTGGTGCCAACCTTTTCCTGCCCGGCGACCTTGGCCTCACGGATCGCCAAAACAGTTTGGTCAACTCTGCTATGCCTCTCGGTGCCGTCGGTGGTGCCCTCATCCTCAGTCCCTCCAACGAGTACCTCGGAAGAAGAATGTCCATCATCATTTCTTGCGTTCTCTACACCATTGGTGCTGCTCTCTGCGCTGGCGCCATGAACTTTGGTAAGCATCCTCATTCCCGTTAGGAAGGTACGATGACTGACTCTTGCCCAGGCATGATCGTCTCCGCTCGCGTCATCCTTGGCATGGGTGTTGGTCTTGAGGGTGGTACTGTTCCCGTCTACGTTGCCGAGACTGCCGAGCGTCGCATTCGTGGAAACGTCGTGTCCCTGTACCAGCTCAACATCGCCCTGGGTGAAGTTCTTGGTTACGCTGTCGCTGCCATGTTCCTTCACGTCAAGGGTAACTGGCGCTTCATTCTCGGCTCTTCCCTTCTCTTCTCCTCCATCATGTGGGCTGGTAAGTCATTACATGATAACCTCTGGTTTATCTTTAAGCTAACAACCGCGTTGGCATGTTGTTTTTACCCGAATCGCCCAGATTCCTCATGCACAAGGGCAAGACTCTTGAGGCCTACAAAGTGTGGAAGCGCATTCGCGGTACTTCTACCCCCGAGGCTAGAGAGGAGTTTTTCATCATGAAGGTGTCTGTTCTCGATGAGCAGCGGGTTGTCTCCGAGGGTGCTAAGAACAAGCGCTTCCCCTGGATGGACTTCTTCACCGTCCCTCGCGCTCGTCGTGCTCTTGTCTACGCCAATATCATGATTCTCCTTGGTCAGTTGACTGGTGTCAACGCCATCATGTAGGCGACCCACTTTTCCCATCACTTTCATTGGTTCTGGCACTGACACCGAACTCAGGTACTACATGTCCATCCTCATGCAACAGATCGGCTTCAATGATGAGAAAGCCACTTACATGTCTTTGGTCGGTGGCGGCTCTCTTCTTATCGGAACGATCCCTGCCGTCATGTACATGGAGAAATTCGGCCGTCGTTTCTGGGCCAACACCATGCTTCCTGGCTTCTTCGTCGGTCTTGTCATTATCGGCGCCAGTTACCAGATCCCGACCACAACCAACACCACGGGTGCCGTAGCTTGCTACCTCGTCGGCCTGGCCCTCTACATGATGTTCTTTGGCTGCTATGCCTGTTTGACTTGGGTGGTACCTTCTGAAGTCTATCCAACATACCTGCGATCTTATGGCATGACCACATCTTCTGGTCTACTTTTCCTGTCGTCTTTCATCGTCACCTACAACTTTACTGCTATGCAGGAGGCTATGACGCGCACGGGCCTCACGCTAGGCTTCTACGGAGGCATTGCCATCCTTGGATGGTTCTACCAGTATGTCACCACATTTCATGAAAAATCACATTTCATGAATATCTTCACTTCTGGGAACGCGTAACTGATCAAATAAACGTTTTAGAATGGTTTTCATGCCAGAAACAAAAGACAAGACTCTTGAAGAGATTGACGTTCTGTTCGAGAAGCCCACGAGCGAGATTGTTGCGATGAACATGAAGAGCATCGCTCGCGGCCTGAGCAAGATTTGCGGAGGCGGCAAGAAGGAGAGCAACTCTCCCGGCCGTGAGATGGAAGTTGACGAGAAGAATGAGAAGGAAACCAGTGCTTGAAACATGAGTTAACGCAGTAATGTGGTGGTGATGGCAAAAGGCCATGAATGAATGATACCAAGATATCGCATATAGATCGCGAGTAATGCATCCCACACATGGGAAAATTATGCAATCAACATGCCAAATCACTCTACAATCAGTGCCCTTGCATCTTCGTCTCATTTGCGTTGTGGTACTTTTGGTTGTGGCTGCCGCACTCACCTTCGCCGCGACGCCACCGCAACTGCCGACCCACGCATATGCGACGAGAGGCCATGGTAGCTGTGGTAGGCAAAACAAGACACCTGAATTAACCAATCGTGAAACTTCGCTTTATCTTCGAGATGGTATGGGCACGTCAATTGAGCGATGATGCCGCGCATTCAATACCAGACACTGTAGACGCTGAAGCGGTCAGCAAAACTCCCGGACCGAAAGCGGGGCCGGGGCCCGGACCCGGGCCCCGGCCCGTGCTCACGCCGCCCAGTCACGCCTACCTCCTCCCCGCGCCTTCCTCCTACTTTTTCTCGTCACGTCAAACAATGACCGCAGGGTATTTCAGCGCACAGTCATACAAGAATCTGGGCTTAAGACCATTTTTGAGAGAGCAATCGGATCTTGCTCCTTCCGCTCCGGCGCTCCAGACCAGAATATGATATCCAAGGTGTCAAAGTGTGAGAATCCGAGCTCGCGAGAGTTCAACTTGAAGTCATAGCAGCCGGTGAATTTAGACCAGGGAAGACTATATCCGATCAGAAAAAGGATTCAATTTCTTTCGGCCTCACGTACCCAGGAGTAATTGAAGAATGGTGGTCTTAGCTTCAGCCATGCAAGTGTCGCGGAACATAATCATTTGTCCGCGGCTTGCCTTTACTCAACGAAGCTGCTCATGCTGTGATACTAATTTGCTCTGCATATTGGATGCATCTCTTCAAGTGGTCTTGCGCTGCTCGGCAAGCTCTTCAAAAGCACCTAGCTGAAATCTTCGCCAATTTTCTGGTAGCTCTCCGTGGCGCCACGACGTCGATGTTGGAAATCAAAGAATACCATGACTTGAAGCACAACGGAAACCTGAGGTGTATAAAAAACGTCTTTTTGACTAAACTCAAAGCACTCAAATCCCGCATGCTTCAGCTCAGCCACCAAACTATGGCATGTTGGAGTTTGCGGTTAGCCTGGATCAGCGCCAGGAGTGAGAGGTTCTTTCAAGAAGCTTGTAGTAAGTTTCTGATGGAAGCAGAATTACTCTCTCTGAGCTTGTCGCCTTTTAACTGCCGTTGATCGTGGAAGCTTACAAGCCTAGAACTAACAAGCCTAGAAAGCATTTTTCGCCATAATTTTCGAAATGCCTTGGATCGGGCTTGGCATAAATGACTCCCGTCAAGTTTGCATAGAGGAGTGATATTTTGACATAACCACTGGCCATTTACTTCTAAGCAACTTCTTACAGTGAAGTGCGTTTCGGCGGAGTATCAAAACCTTTCGCAAGCAGTAGAAATTTCAACATTAAATTGGTTATGGAATATTATCCAAGGTGTCCAAAAGACAAACAAGAAATAATAGAAATTCATTATCATTGAGACACATTCTCGATATACGTGACTCGTGACAAAAGCGCAAACAAGGCCTGCAAGCTACGACTACATGCTTGGAAGGTGGCCTCAGACTACATGGAATCGCGCCACCTCAACGGCACTGCAGCTAAATCATCGTTTAACTTAAAGTTGATTCATTCATATCAGTCGGATCTCGCCATCCTAGATAACAATGTCAACAGTGGCATTAAGAGACATTGAGGTGTGAGCATAATCTAGGGAAAGCTTCTCAAACTCAGAGTGACAAGGAATCGAAAATTCAAGTCAATAGACAAAGCTTCTCCGAGGCTAGGCGGAGAACTTGATCCGGGTGAGTAAAAGATGGACCTCACAGACATTGCATGAAAGTTGATGGGCAAATCCATGCCGCAGTTTGTCGTGAAACAGTGTTGACTGAAATGCCCGTCAACATATGCAAGGTCCGTCGAGCTGCCCACGTAAATGAATCCTTACGGATCGCATAGCGCCCGTGGATATTGTAAATAATCCGCAATAGCTCTGTCTATCACCGGCGCTTCAAAGTCTGAACAAATCCGACAAATGCCTTTCCCTTCACTCTCAGCTTTTGAGTAGCGTTCGAAAGCTCCTTCAGAGTTCCCAGCACTTCGTTAGCTTCCCCTTTCGCTTCGCCCTCGGGGTTAGCTTTCAGATTCTTCCACTTGCTCTTCAGGCCTGTCGCTGGAGGCTCAGTCGCGAGAGTGTTTAAACGGTCCCTTGGAGTTTCCAGTACTTCGCTGTCGTACGCGTTCAATTCGTTCTTGAACGCTTCCATCTCGTTCTCCAATTGGTTCTCGAACGCTTTCACTTCATTCTCATGCGCATTCGCTTCTCTATCGTTCGCGGTCATTTCTTTCTCATTTGCGTCCGCTTCGCCCGCAGGAGTGGCTTTCAGATTCTTCCACTTATCCTTAAGGCCCATCGCTGGAAATCCATTCGCACGAGTGTTCGAAAGCTCCCTTAGTATTTTCAGCGCTTCTTCCGCCTTCGCCTCGCCCTCTGGGGTAATTTTCAGATTCTTCCACTTGCCCTTCAGGCCGGTTGGTGGAACCCCTGTCGCGCCCTTTTCCAGCAACAACTTGACCGCGGCCACCCTTCCATGGCGTGCTGCATGCGCGATCGCATTCAGGCCGATGAACTCAAAGTTGATGCTGCCGTACTTAACCAAGTGTTCCAGGCAACTTACGCGGTCAAGCGAAGCCGCCAAAAACAGCGGATAGCCTTCCCAATCGTCAGCCGTGTCATCATTTTGGTCTGCTCCACATGCGCCTCGTTCCAGAAGCAGCCGGACGATATCAGGTTTGTCGTCAACAATCGCCTCCAGTAATGGAGTTCGGCGACTGTGTTCCTTCTTTGTTCTGATGCAAGTCGACGCGTTGTGATTGAGTAGGGTGGTGCATATGTCCACATAGCCTAGCTTGGCAGCCCAGTGGAGGCTGGTGTAGCCTTTGTTGTCAGCCGCGTAAACCTCTGTGGATGAGTTGTCGAGAAACAAGTTGGCTATGCCAAGGTGATTCTTCTTGACGGCGGTCTGAAGCGGAGTCACGCCATCGAGCAGTGCCAATACTAGCCCGCCGTTGTGGCCGATCAAAATGCGGCAGATGTCCACCAAGCCCCCTGCTGCTGCCGCATGCAATGCTGTGTCACCATTTGGCGATGCTAAACCGCAGTTGGCACCAGCATCAAGGAGACATTGAACCACGGTACTGTGACCTTGGTCCACAGCTAGGATGAGTGGAGTATCGCCGAGAGCATTCCTGGCGTCTAGGCTAGCCCCATATTTGATCAGGTTCCCACAAACTTCCACCAGGCCCCTTGATGCTGCCACATGCAAGGCTGTAAGACCACTTGAAGATTCTAGATTGCAGTTGGCACCAGCTTCAAGGAGAAATTTAACCACAGCACCGTGGCCATCGTCCAAAGCTAGGATGAGTGGAGTGTCCCCATGGACATTCCACTCATCTAACCTTGCCCCAGACTTGATCAGGATCCTACAGACTTCCACTTTGCCTGCTTTTGCTGCAAGATGCAACGGTGTTGTATTCGGAGAACTTTCGCAATGGACATCAGCACCGGCTGCGAGAAGCATCTGAACCACCTTCTCATGACCCTCGATTGACGCGATGTGTAGTGGAGCATCTTCTGACTCTTCGTCCGTTGCATCAACTTCGACACCCTGTTTTCGCAATAACAGGGCGACGATCTTATCATTGCCTACTTTGGCAGCCCGGTATAAAAGCTGAGAGAAAATGTAGCCCTCGGTCTTACCATCGTGTTCAAGCATAAACTTCACGATGTCAAACAGCTGATAGTCGACAGCATTTCGGAGGGCATCGAGATGATCGTCGGATTCATTGATGTCCGCAATCTCTCCCCAGAGTGCAATGACCATGCCCAGGTGCTCATATTCGACGGCCATCATGAGCGCCGTGTTGCCGTCGACATCACGTACATGTGAGTCAATCTCCATGGCCAGGAGCCTTTTGGCACAGGACAAGCGGCCCAACTTTGCTGCAAGGTGAAGAGGGGTCTCGCCCATGCGATTGTAAGGCCCCAGACGGCTTCGATTGCCGTCATCCAACGCCCGCTGCAGTGCATCCAGTTTGTTCTTTTTGATGGCTACCACAACTTTGTTGTCCGCATTTGTGACTCGCTCACTGACGAACGTCACATAACGTGTGACACTCGACATGGACTTTGCAAGGATTACCATGGGTAACATCGGAACATCGTGATTGGGGCAAATGAGAGCGTTTTCCAGACTAACGGCGCAGTGGTGGCAACACCAAGGGGGGGCGTCATCATTGTAAGGGCTGTGACTTGTGTGTTCGGCATCGTAATCCTCCTCACCGTGATATTTATCATCGTAATCTTCATGATCGAAATACTCCTCACCGGAATATTCATCATCGTAATCTTCCTCGCCGTAATCTTCCTCAACGGAAACGCCGTGAATTCGGTCTTCACCTTCGTTCCACATGGATGTCGAATCATCAGATCCGTGATAGAGATAATGGCGATCTGAGTCCTGAATCGGCGAAGAACAGATGACGCAATCTGCTGAACTGCTGCTCGTGATGGGACAAGACATCGCTCCCTCCATGTCTGTCGAGTCTGCATCAGCCAGCGGTTTAGCCGGCTTTGGCACTGGCTCTGGATCTTGCCTCTGCGCTTCCTTGTCTGTTCCGGGCCCTGGTTGCATCCCAGGCTCCGTTACTGCCCCCTGGTATGTTTCTGACATGGGTTGTGTCGGTAGACTCTGCTTGTCAAAGATAGCATCTTGGGATGGATCCAAGACTGAAGCGTAGTCCGATGGATTACGACTAATGATTGCTGATGGTGTCGTACGGGACAGTGATGCTGTTGAATCCGCTGGCGATCTTGTTGAAGCCATCCTTGGTCTATCACCATGTACTTCTTCGTTATAAGGCACTGCACCTGCACTAGGGGAATACGTTGCAGGCGGCACTGTACAGGTATTGTGAGGCAAAGGCCCCAAAGACGAACTCTGAGAATGTGTCAGCTATCGAAAATTCTGTCGTCTTGGTCATTGGAAGTGTGCAGACTGACCTGGTTATTCCTGCGAATGAGACTGTTGGACGCAGGGCGTTACGAATGGCGGCCTTGACGGAAGGGAAAATTCCGCCCTGGCCTTCCTCGATTTTAGCGATTTCGGAGTGGTCTGCGTCAACACCGACCGCTTTATCCTTTTCCATAAAGAGGATTGCGGAATCGCAGTCGACCATGATGATGGGAGAGCCTTCTTGTGCCCACTTCCCGTTCTCTACAGTCCGTTGCGTTAACAGCGTCCGCCCCCCCTTTTTTTCCCCACTTATATAAAAATATAAAAAAAAGCTAATTTTATACTATAATACGTATTTTACTATATTATACGTAAAATATATTAAACCTATTACTAATACCTTAATTACTATTAATTATTATAGTTATAGTAGTATTTAAATATATAACTATATAATAGAGATATAAAGTATATATCTAATACCTCTATAGTAATTAATTTATTTATAGAAGTATTACTAACCTAGTTAGTTACTTTATCTTTATACTAATTAACTAGTAAATCTTATAAGAGATTAAGATAATATTACTAAGGAATAAGAAAAGAGACTTATAATATAACTTTATATATCTACTTAGTATAAGTTTTATATAATTCTAAGTAATATAAAAGTATATTAAGGGGTTTAATATAGTTCTTTAGAATAAATAGTTCTAGTAATTAATTAAAGTAATAAATTTCTTAATAGCTTAGTTTATTTATAATATTAAATAAGAGTTTACTATTATATAGATAATACTTAGTTACTTATAGTTTACTATTAATTAGTATATATNTCTATAGTTTATTATATTAGATATACTAAGAAAAATACTAAGTAATAATAATAATATAATAATACTTAAAATATTAAATCTATAGTTATTAATAATTATAATAATACTACTATTTAAAAACTAAAAGACCTATAAACTAATAAATATTATTAGTTATACTAAATAAATAATTTAATAATATAGATTATAATATAATATTACTAA